TGAAGAACCGGCCAAGTCATCGGCTGTACAAGCCGACGACGCGCCGGAGGTGGCCTTCCTGGGACCGAAGCAACGGTGGCCTCCCATGTTCTACTTTCCCTCGATGTTGGCGGCGGACGCAGACGCGTTGGCCACCGACTCGTCGATCTCCGCGCAACTGGCTTCTTTCTCTTCCGGCAGGGCGCGGTTATGCGCACGTTGACGGCGAATGGCGCGGTCACATGCACGGGAGGCGCGGTATGACGTTGCGTCATCCAACAACGATGTCCGTGCTGCCGTGCTCCCTCCCGTGCTGCCCTGGAGCGACGAGTTGCTGAAGCACTCACCGACTTGGGGCGGCTACTTGCTCCGCCGGGCTAGGCGAGGGAGGTGGAGTCGTGAGCTGCCTCGCTCGTATCTGGCGGGCTCGGTGGGCCACCCAGCCGGCTTTTATGTTGGAGAACCGCTTTTCCTGCTCATCTGATGACATTGAAAGGGTGAAGAAAATTGTGGAAGGAGGAGATGGGGAGCGGGGGAGTGGTGCGATTCTTGCCCGGCGTCTGGCCTCCTTCAAATAGCGTGCAGACCAGAGGAGCTTGCCCGTGTGTTTAATGCCGGCCCACTCATGGACGAACGTGTGGCTGGAGTAGATTTTTCGGTTCCCACGCGGGGTTTAATGGAGGTGTTTGAATGCAGCGAGGAGACGTGTTTAGCCTGGCGTGCAAGGGGAATGCACTGGCCGGCGCGCCGCTTCAATGGCGGAGGCAGTGAGAGGTCGTGTCCGCCCTGAGCCATCTTCAATATGCAGCGGCGCGCTGACAGCGGCATGAATGTGGCTAGCTGGTGCCGGGCACGGGCGAGGGAGGAAGGGGCTTGGGTGGGCCAATGTGGTCAGAAGCAGGCATGAGTGTTGTCCAGAAGCATGCAAAATCTCTACGCTTGTCTCCGTTTTGCGGGAGAAAGTACATCCGAACCGCGTCGTGAACCGATACATATCCGTGTTAGATGGCTTCTGCGGTTTGGACACTACGATCAAAACGTATACGGACGGTTAAGAGTTGGTATTTGAGATGCCCTAAGAAATATATCAGCTACTACTATGAAATCTACAACGTCCAATGTTGTCCCTACCTACTATGGAACAAAAAGTGATTCAACCATTGTCTATCAAACGACCTTTCATTTTGCTCATTCTCAGAGACACCCGAGCGTTAGGGTTTCTCGTACCTCCCACCGGCACCGCCAGCGGTCTATCTCGTCTTCTGTGGCCTCAAGGTCTTGGAGACGCAATGGATCCCGGTTATTGTCGGCGGGAGGGCTTCGTTGTTTAATGTTTTTTTAGTTTTGTTCAGGTTTGTGTCCTTTTCAGAGAGGCGAGGTGGCGGCTGCTATCTGAAGATGGAATAGGTTCTTTTTGCCTAGGTCCCATCTCAGCGATGCTTCTAGCATCGTCGGAGGGCATGTAGAGGATTATCTTCGGTAGATCTAGCGGAATTCAGTCGACCTTTGTCTTCGTTGGATTCATGTGGATTCAGTCAGTGTCGGTATGTCTACAGATTGAATCTTTCTGATCTATGCTTCTCTTCATCGGCGGTGGTTGTTTTTCTGGTATGCTGATTCTATATGGCCTTAGCATGAAGATTTCCCAACTATCTAGTACAACAAGGTACGCCAATCTTCGATGAAGGAAGGACGATGACGGTGACGGGCCTTCGGCTCGCTCCAGTGCTTGTGGTCGTCGTTAGGTGGTCTAAGGACCTGAATGCAATTTTGCTTCTGGTGTTCTCTATACTACCTTTGACCGTTGATGAATAGATCGAAAGTTTTTCCTGCAAAAAAAGGTGATTGAAACAAAATCAAAGGGTAAATTATTATCCCTAACAACAATCTTCTTTTGTTTAAGGTTACACAAGAGCACCCTCAAACTTGTTTAAATGTTTCAGCTATTCCCTATTTCCTTGAAAAAGGTTACATCCGATTCGTAGATTTACTCATATAGTATTAAGAAAGTATGTACCATGTTTCCAGTGCAAAATATGTAGCATTATCTCGGTTGATTGAGAAAATCATATTACACGGCCGGTTTTAGAATTTGTCAAGACAAATCTAAAATATACCCAGTTTGCTAGTATAATAATTCGTTAATCTCTCTCCTAATTCAAAATTTTCATAGCCCCGAATCAAAAGAGCCCGTAGGATCCTCTAAAACGTGAATGAAAGAAGGAATTCTATATAATTTTTCAAAGCCAAATTTCCAATCCACAGTTCATCGTAGAACGTCTTCATGGGATTCTGTTTCTCTGCACTTTTTCTATTCCAGTCCCAACGCGACCTTAATATCTGCGAGAGGACAAGAGACAAGAGAGCCATAACAAGAGCTCTAGCTCCTAAACAAAAGCTACGGCCGAGCTACGGCAGCAGATTGGACTAGCACGAGTCTACGTTCGTTGTCCTGAAGATTTGTAGAGCATCCCCGTAGGGACGCTAATGAAATGGTGTAGTAAAGCTAAGCACGTGGTGCCAGATCAGACCCCTCCTTTGCAATTTGCACGCTGAGATCTTGTCTGCTCCGGAGCTGGAAGCGTGGACCGCCGGCACGGACCTCGCCGGGAAGGGATTGTCCGGACATGTCTGCCATACCGAGGCAGGGGAGGAAATCGAACGCCAGTTCCAAGGACTTTGCCAACCACTGCATCGCTAAGCTCGTGTGCCATTCCGGTTTATAGCCGAGGACAGGAGTGCGATGTTCGCCAACTGCTAGTGGTTGGTGATACTTGTGTTGTCATCTTGATATCTGAACCGATGTTCAGTTCAGAACTTGGCGTGGTGAGTGTATAGTACTCCTGATAATCTGAAACCTGCTTCTCTGAACTGCAGAAAACATGCAACCTTGCTGTGCTGCTTTTACTGAATTATTTCAGCTTGAGTCCATTTTGAATCCATGTGCCATCTTTCTATCTTTTGGAATCAATAAAAGTCATTGCCATATCACGGACCAGATGCCAACCAGGAGGACATTGTATGTATCAAATGTGGAAGCATTGCCAGATTGCACTTTCACTGGTTCTGAACATTTCATTATTTCTGGACCAGGTTTCACCTTTCAGATCGATTTCAGCTTACACAAACATTGATGCTTTTAGAAATTTCTACTCCCTCTGTTCCAAAATAATTGTTGTGGTTTTTAGTTCAAATGAGTATTATATTTTTAATGAATCAAATTCCAGAATTCAAAATAGCCAACACGAGATTTTTTTTTCAGACCCAAAAATTGGAAGTGTACATTGCTCATGTTAACCCATCTACAAATAGGTTGTTTGACACATATCCAGACAGTATAAATCTCTATCTATCTACAACTTGATCATATTGCAGATTTACATATCCAGATTTTATTATGCAATAAAACAGAGAAATAATCTTCCTCGGTCGGTGGGCCTATGTCCATCTTCTGCAGCAGTTTTGGCATCCCAATTGCAGAAACAATAAAGGGCATGCATACGTCCGGGAGCCAGTTTTGACTGTGGCTTGATTATGCTCCACATAAAGAAGAATTGAGATTTAATCATCTGTATCTCCCTGCACAAGTAAATCAGAAGTGCAGTTTTCGGATACAGAAGGAACAGTGGAACAATAGCATCTGCACAATAATTCGATTGTAAAAAGATAAACATCCCACGGAACCACCAAAAGAGGAACTGCACTTTTTTTTGAGGGATGCACATTATTATTTTTAATATAAAATCGGTGAGAAGCTGTTTCCTCTAGCTCTGGTTATGCTAAACTTACTCCAAACCGCAAGGCAGTTATGGCTTAAACTCTCGATTATATGTTCACTGTTTCATATGCACTTGTTAAACAAAGCAGAGTTGAGAATCGGATCGATGCATTTCAAAGTCTGGCTTATAATTTGTAGAATAAACAGGATAATTTATGGACTACATTGGATAATACTGCAGGGGCACAAATCCTATGCTGCACGGATGGGCAGTATTGTTGCAGCTGTGACCACAACTTTCAGAATGAAGCAATTCGTTCCAGCAAGCCGAGCAGCGCCATGTGAGAGGAGCCCCCTTCTCCAATGCACTGTCCGACCTTGCCCTTGAGATCTCGGGCCCTCTGTCTGATCTCCTCCCCTTCAATGCCAGGGCCCATCAACCTGTCGATGGCAGCCCGGACGGCCCCCCGCTGGAGCCTCCCCACCTCCACACCCACCTTCCACACGTCGCACGCGTACCTCGCCGTCTCGAACTGGTCGCCGAAGCACGGCAGGCAGGCCATCGGCACGCCCTCCGACAGCGCCTCCACCGTCGAGTTCCACCCGCTGTGCGTCAGGAAGGCGCCCACGGCGGCGTGGCCGAGCACCTTCTCCTGAGGGGTCCAAGGGACGACCATCCCTCGGTCGCCTATCTGCTCAGCCAGGCCGCCGGGCAGCTCGAGCGAGCACGATGGACGCCCGCGGACCATGCCTGGCCGGACCACCCACACGAACGGACGGCCGGCGTCGGCTAATGCCCAGGCCAGCTCCGCTAGCTCGTGCGCGTCGACGCTGGCGACGGTCCCGAGGCTGACGAACAGGACGGATCCCGGCGACTGGTTGTCCAGCCAGTCGAGGCAGCATGGGGAGCCGTCTTGGGGCGGCGGTGGTGGTGGCGGCGAGAATCTGTTCAGGGAGCCGACGGGGAACACCGGCAAGGAAAGGCCGTCGCGGATGTAGCCGACCTCGGGCCCCTCGATCGCGTCGAAGGTGTTGACGATGAGGCCTGACGACCGCCTAGCTGCGTCGACGAACCGCTCGAGCAGGTCGGCGAAGGTGTCGAGGCTGCTCGCGTCGATCCGCTGCAGGTCTCTCACCCGGAACGGCGGCAGCTCCTCCACGGGAGCGTTCCCCCGCGCCTCGTCGTATGGCAGGTGGCCCTTGGCGAGCAGCGCCCGGTAGGCCATGAAGGTCCGGAAGCTGGCCGCGCTGCTCGTCATGAGCGCCAGCGCCGGCACGCCGAGGTCCCTCGCTGCCGCCTGCGCCGAGAACCACACCACGTCGGTGACCACGCAGCGGACGCTCCCCCCGGCGAGCAGCGCGGCCAGCCGGTCCTTGAAGGCGGCCGCGCAGGACGCGTTGAGCGCCACCAGGAACGCCGCGATGTCCTCGGTTGCCGCGGGGAGGTCGGGGGCGGGCACGGCCACGAAGCGGTAGTCCGCAGGGTAGCACGCCGGGTCCGGCGCGTGGAGTTCCGTGTGGAGCACAGTGATAGCGTGGCCGCTGGCGTGCAGCGCCGCGGCAAGCCGGAGCATGGGGATCATGTGGCCAAGGTAGGGCAGCGGGAAAAGGACCACGCGACGCCGGACAGCATCGCATGGCGCCATTGCTTGTGTGAGCCACGGGAATCACAGCATGGGATTCGGGAACGTCGGCTTATTTTGCTAGCAATGGACAAGAACACATGTAGGTGTACCAGTCAAGGAAGATGAAAAAAGGAATATAGTACACCCCTCTGATCTAGGAGTATATTAACGGAGTATTTTCTGAAAAAAACTGTCGCGCAACTTTAAATTAACGAAGGCGGCTGCTCGGATCCTTGCCAGCCGCTCGATCTGCGATGTTCGATGGCAGCAGCCATCCTCTATCCACACCGCGTCCTCCTCTGCATTCAAGGTGCAGCAGCCCCTCGTCAATCAACACCGCAGCGCCGAGACTAACCGGGGGGCTGCACTATGGTAGCACCGAGGGCTGCAAAGAAAAAGCTTCAACGCAGCAGTTACGACGCCACGACGAAGCTCCAGTGCAGCTCCATGGATGCACCGTCGACGCCCGGCGAAGCTGTATTGCAGCCCCGCCGACGCTCCATTACAGCTCTGGTGGAGCTCCATTGCAGCCGCAGCGAAGCTCGAACGACCGTGACAGCGCTCCATTGCAGCCGCGGCGAAGCGCCATTGCAGCAGCGACAAAGCTCCGACGACCCTCCATTGCATCCCGGCGGCACTCCATTGCAGTCGCGGCGAAGCTTGAATGACCCCAACGGTGCTCCATTGCAGCCGCGGCAAAGCTCCGACGACCATCCATTGCAGCCCAACTGCGCTCCAAAGCACCAACGGCGGAGCGCCATTGCAGCCCGACGACCCCAGCGATGTGCCGATTGTTGGAAATATGCCCTAGAGGCAATAATAAAATGGTTATTATTATATTTCCTTGTTCATGATAATGGTCTGTTGTTCATGCTATAATTGTATTAACCGGAAACCGTAATACATGTGTGAATACATACACCGTAATATGTCCCTAGTAAGCTTCTAGTTGACTAGCTCGTTGATCAATAGTTGGTTCTGATTTTCTGACCATGAACATTGGATGTCGTTGATAACGGGATCACATCATTAAGAGAATGATGTGATGGACAAGACCTAATCCTAAGCATAGCACAAGATCGTGTAGTTCATTTGCTAAGAGCTTTTCTAACGTCAAGTATCATTTCCTCGGACCATGAGATTGTGCAACTCCCGGATACCGTAGGAATGCTTTGGGTGTACCAAACGTCATAATGTAACTGGATGGCTATAAAGGTGCACTACAGGTATCTCCAAAAGTGTCTATTGGGTTGACACGAATCAAGACTGGGATTTGTCACTCCGTATGACGAAGAGGTATCTTTGGGCCCACTCGGTAATGCATCATCATAATGAGCTCAATGTGACTAAGGAGTTAGTCACGGGATCATGCGTCACGGAACGAGTAAAGAGACTTGCCGGTAACGAGATTGAACGAGGTATGGGGATACCGACGATTGAATCTCGGGCAAGTAACATACCGGTGGACAAAGGGAATTGTATACGGGATTGATTGAATCTCCGACATCGTGGTTCATCCGATGAGATCATCGTGGAACATGTGGGAGCCAACATGGGTATCCAGATCCCACTGTTGGTTATTGGCCGGAGAGATGTATCGGTCATGTCTGCATGGTTCCCGAACCCGTAGGGTCTACACACTTAAGGTTCGGTGACGCTAGAGTTGTTATGGGAAATAGTATGTGGTTGCCGTAGGTTGTTCGGAGTCCCGGATGAGATCCCGGACGTCACGTGGAGTTCCGGAATGATCCGGAGGTAAATATTTATATATGGGAAGTCCAGTTTCAGTCACCGGAATGGTTTCAGGGGTTATGGGTATTGTACCGGGACCACCGAAAGGTGTCCGGGGGTCCACCGGGTGGGGCCACCCGCCCCGAGGGACTCAATGGGCTGAACTAGGGTGGGAACCAGCCCCCTAGTGGGCTGGTGCCCCCACCCCAAGGGCCCAAGGTGCCTAGGGTTGGAAACCCTAGGGGATGGGGGCGCCTCCCACCAAACTTGGGGGGCAAGTCCCCCCTTGGCCGCCCCCCCTTAGATGGGATCTAATGGGGCCGGCCCCCTCTCCCCTTCCCCTATAAATGGTGGGGGGAGGGCTGCCACACCCTTCCCCTAGCGCAACCCCTCCCTCCTCCAACACCTCCTCCTCCTCCGTAGAGCTTGGCGAAGCCCTGCAGAAAAACTGCAAGCTCCACCACCACGTCGTCGTGTTGCCGGGGCTCTCCCTCAACTTCTCCTCTCCCCTTGCTGGATCAAGAAGGAGGAGACGTCCCCGGGCTGTATGTGTGTTGAACGCGGAGGCGACGTCCTTTCGGCGCTAGATCGGATCTTCTGTGATTTGAATCACCGCGAGTATGATTCCATCAACCGCGTTCTTGTAACGCTTCTGCTTAGCGATCTTCAAGAGGTATGAAGATGCACTCCCTCTCTCTCATTGCTAGCATCTCCTAGATTGATCTTGGTGACACGTAGGAATTTTTTTTGAATTATTGCTACGTTACCCAACAGTGGCATCATGAGCTAGGTCTATGCGTAGATTCTATGCACGAGTAGAACACAAGTAGTTGTGGGTGATGGTTTGTTCAATTTGCTTGCCGTTACTAGTCCTATCTTGATTTGGCGGCATTGTGGGATGAAGCGGCCTGGACCGACCATACACGTACGCTTACGTGAGACTGGTTCCACCGACTGACATGCACTTGTTGCATAAGGTGGCTAGCGTGTGTCTGTCTCTCCCACTTTGGTCGGATCGGATTCGATGAAAAGGGTCCTTATGAAGGGTAAATAACAATTGGCATATCACCGTTGTGGATTTTGTGTAGGTAAGAAACGTTCTTGCTAGAAACCCATAGCAGCCACGTAAAACATGCAACAACAATTAGAGGACGTCTACTTGTTTTTGCAGGGTATGCTATGTGATGTGATATGACCAAAAGGATGTGATGGATGATATATGTGATGTATGAGATTGATCATGTTCTTGTAATAGGAATCACGACTTGCATGTCGATGAGTATGATAACCGGCAGGAGCCATAGGAGTTGTCTTAATTTATTGTATGACCTGCGTGTCAATGAAAACGCCATGTAATTACTTTACTTTATTGCTAACCATTAGCCATAGTAGTAGAAGTAATAGTTGGTGATACAACTTCATGAAGACACGATGATGGAGATCATGATGGAGATCATGGTGTCATGCTGGTGACGAAGGTGATCATGCCGTGCCTCAAAGATGGAGATCAAATGCGCAAGATGATATTGGCCATACCATGTCACTTTATGATTTGCATGTGATGTTTGTCATGTTTACATATTATTTGCTTAGAACGACGGTAGCATAAATAAGATGATCCCTCACTAAAATTTCAAGAGATGTGTTCCCCCTAACTGTGCACCATTGCGAAAGTTCGTTGTTTCGAAGCACCACGTGATGATCGGGTGTGATAGATTCTAACGTTCGCATACAACGGGTGTAAGCCAAATTTACACATGCAAAACACTTAGGTTGACTTGACGAGCCTAGCATGTACAGACATGGCCTCGGAACACAAGAGACCGAAAGGTCGAACATGAGTCGTATAGTAGATACGCTCAACATGGAGATGTTCACCGATGATGACTAGTCCGTCTCACGTGATGATCGGACACGGCCTGGTTGACTCGGATCATGTATCACTTAGATGACTAGAGGGATGTCTATGTAAGTGGGATTTCATTAAATAATTTGATTAGATGAACTTAATTATCATGAACATAGTCTAAAATATCTTTACAATATGTCTTGTAGATCAAATGGCCCACGCTAATGTTGCCCTCAACTTCAACGCGTTCCTAGATAAAACCAAGCTGAAAGACGATGGTAACAACTATACGGACTGGGTCTGAAACTTGAGGATCATCCTCATAGCTGCCAAGAAAGCATATGTCCTTGAAGCACCGCTAGGTGACGCACCCATTTTCCCAGCAACTCAAGACGCTATGAACGCCTAGTAGTCGTGTAGTGATGATTACTCCCTGGTTCAGTGCGGCATGCTTTACAGCTTAGAACATGGGCTCCAAAAGTGTTTTGAGCAGCACGGAGCATATGAGATGTTCCAAGAGCTGAAAATGGTTTTCTAAGCTCATGCCCGGGTCGAGAGATATGAAGTCTCCGACAAGTTCTACAGTTGTAAGATGGAGGAAAACAGTTCTGTCAGCGAGCATATACTCAAAATGTCTGGGTTGCACAACCGTTTGTCCCAGCTGGGAGTTAATCTTCCAGATGACTTGGTCATTGACAGGATCCTCCAGTCGCTCCCACCTAGCTACAAGAGCTTTGTGATGAACTACAATATGCAAGGGATGGAGAAGTCCATTCCTGAGTTATATTCAATGCTAAAATCAGCGGAGGTGGAAATCATAAAGGAACATCAAGTGTTGATGGTGAATAAGACCAGTAATTTCAAGAAAGGCAAGGGTAAAAAGAACTTCAAGAAGGACGGCAAGGGAGTTGCCGCGCCTGGTAAATCAGTCGCCGGGAAGAATCCAAACAATGGACCCAAGCCCGAGACTCGGTGCTTTTATTGCAAGGGAAATTGTCACTGGAAGCGGAACTGCTCCAAGTACTTAGCGGATAAGAAAGCCGACAACACCAAAGTGTTGGAAATATGCCCTAGAGGCAATAATAAAATGGTTATTATTATATTTCCTTGTTCATGATAATTGTCTATTGTTCATGCTATAATTGTATTGACCGGAAACCGTAATACATGTGTGAATACATAGACCACAACATGTCCCTAGTGATCCTCTAGTTGACTAGCTCGTTGATCAACAGATGGTCAAGGTTTCCTGACTATGAACATTGGATGTCATTGATAACGGGATCACATCATTAGGAAAATGATGTGATGGACAAGACCCAATCCTAAGCATAGCACAAGATCGTGTAGTTCGTTTGCTAAAGCATTTCTAATGTCAAGTATCATTTCCTTAGACCATGAGATTGTGCAACTCCCGGATACCATAGGAATGCTTTGGGTG